CAAGCGGCTGAATGTGGGGTCTGTGAAGGCCAGCCAAGTCACTGTGACCCTCTTTCATTCAGTCTGCATCCTCCTTCCTCTCTGGGCTGCCCCTGGCTTCCCTTCACTAGGGCACAACAGCCTCTCCCCCTGGCGGCTCACTTGGCCCTGTGGCCCCTTCCTCCGATTGGTCAGTTCCTCCCAGAACCTCCATTTGAAGAAAAGTGACCAGGCCAGCCAGGGCTTTACTCTTCCCTAGGCTCCTGTCTTGACTGTCAAGACTTTTTCCAGCATGCCCCATGCAGGGGGGTACCTTCTACTTCCCTCCAGATTTTCAGCTTCCTTTTCCTTCCTTGTTAGAATGTAAGCTGGTTGAGGGCAGGAACTGGTTTTTGGGGGGCTTGATTAGCGTTCCAAATGTTTAATTAGCATGGTGCCTGGCATATAGTAAGCACCTAATAAATGCTGACTGAATGCTAAGATAAGATGCTATGAAGCAAGTCCTAGATTTCTTTACTGTGTAACCTTGGGCTGACTCTGGGCCTCAGTTTCCTCCTCTGAAAGAGACGTTGGGCTCGATTATCCATAAGGCCCTATCCAGCACTGATGTTCGAGGGGCCCCATGTTCTGACTCTAAACCCTTTTTCTTAGGTCTTGGCAATTCTTTCTTTGCTACAGACGTCTTCCCTTTCCCATCACATAACTTATAAGATGATTATGATGTCATAATTGCTTTAGAGGTAGCCGGGGAAGGTGGCCAGATCCAATTCCAAAGACTGGCCGTGGGACGGAGGAGACTTCAGGCTTGCCAATGCTAAGTTGCTGGTAGAAGCTGAGTTCTAGCAAACCCCAGCAGGCTGAAAAGGCTTCAGGCTGAGCCTGCTACCTGAGAGGTGGCCTTGCCCCTTGGATAAGGCGCCAGCCCCAGAACGGGGGACCCAGGCGATGTTCTTGCTATCGCAATTTACAAAAACTGTCTACTAAGTCACAGAGAGCTTGAAATTTATGTCAGCAAAGGGAAAACATAACCCTAATGAAATCACAGATGCTGGCATTACTGAAGCATGTGAGCTAGTGGAAAGAGGACTGGGCTCAGGCCCAAGGTTCTGGTTTGGGGGCCTGGCTCAAAGACTCATCAGTAGTGTGATCTAGAGAAAGTGATGCCAGCACTTGGGACCTCAGTTTCCTTGTCGGTAAAATAGGGATAAATATGTTCACATCACCCTTCTCACAGTCATACTAACAGCTGATGAAAGAAGGGATGCACAAAATTTCCTCGAGGCTAAAAAGCACCCTCAGTGAAGACTGCCTGATCCTCACACCCACCCTGTGAGGCAGGGAGTAAAAATTCGATTCCCCATAAGGAAGCCAAGGCTCACACAGGTAAAGCGATGTCCTCAAGGGCACATGGTGGGCAAGCAGCAGAAATGGAATTCAAACCTCTGCCCAGGGCCTCTCAGCTCTCTCTCACACACGCTGGGTGAGAGCCCATCAGCATTCCTCAGAACAGGTCGCAGCTGGACCTGGGCCTCACGATGGCCAAGGCAAACACCTTGACCATGTCACAGAGTCTGAATTCTCCCCAGAGGTGCTGGCCAAGGTTCAGGGGAAGCCTGGTGACTACAGCTACTGCTTCTCTGCTCTTTGCTCCGGATGAAGTCTGGCCTGCTGCCGGCAGGACTCTCACCCTGACACCCCCAGCTCCTGCTGTCCCCTGAAACCATCCCTGATGCTCTGAGCCAAGCTCTGGCAGAGTTGCTGACACAAACAACATCAGCAGACGACTGCCTCGATGTGAGGCCAAGAGCCCTGTCAGCCTGACTCTCCCTCTGCACCCCTTTAGGGGTCCCTGGGGCTCTGTTTGCAGAGCGTTAGGTACTAATTAATGCCACACAGCAGCCCGTGGAAGCTGCCACCTCAATACCTGGGGGTTCTACTGGTTCTCCGCCCAGGCCCCGCTGGACAGCCGAGGCTGCCCACCTGCCTCCTCTGCCTGGTCCCAGGGCCGCAGGGAACCGGCTGGGCCTGTCAGTCCTTTCCTCAGTCCCCGAGGCCTCACTCAGAGCTATCATGTGGACACGGCTGCTCAGGTCACACCTGCCCCACGATGCAGAGCTATACCGGCAACGGAGGCTCAGGCTCCTGGCAGGAGGACCCGGCACTGGCCCAGAACCAACCCACAACAGCTGACAAATCCCCTTCTTCACAACCATCCTATGAAATGTGGATCCAAAAGAGGAAACTGCGGCCGAGTTTCACGTGGGCACACCGTGGATAGAGCACTGCACCTGAAGTCAGGAAGCTCTGAGTTCAAATCCAGCCCCAGACGCTAGCTAGTTGTATGACCCTGGGCAAGTCACTCAGCCACTGTTGGCCTCTTTTTCCTCATCTGTGAAATGGGGATAATAATAGCATCTACCTGGTTCGTCAAGGGATCAAGATGGGCAAAAGAGGAGAGGGTCACTAGTTCAAGGGGGAGGCCCTGGGGGAGAACTGAGAGGCTGCGGGATGGGAGACCCTGGTGGGGAGAAGGAGGAGGGTTTGGTGAGAGGGCAGCGGGAGAGGCGGAAAGCCCATGGTCAGATAAAGACATTTCAGCACTCTTGAATAAGGAGGAGGGACATGTACAAAAGTATGGACGGTGGCTCTTTCTGCGGTGGCAAACTGGGGAATGGATGAAGAAATCCTGGCATAAGGCTGGTGAAATACTGCGCCGATGGGCGTGGAGATGGTTCCAGAAAAACCTGGGAAGACTTGTATGAACTGATGCAGAGGGAAGTGAGCAGAGCCAGGAGCACACTTCACATGCCACACCATCACTGTGAAAGGTGAACAATCCCAGAGAGACCATGGTAAAGAAGGTTGCCCACCTCACAGCCAATGAGGGCAGTGATTCTGCTTGACTGCGCTTATGTGTGACAAGAGTTTCGTATCATTCCTCCCACCCCCCACTCGGTGAGGGCGAAGGAGAAAAAACACATGCTTCATAACGGAAAAAATTAATTTAAAAAAGAGGTACAGAGCACATAATTACATAATGGCAAGCCACAATTTTGTCAGACTACAACTGTGTAGCTACAAGACATCATTACAGGTAATTAAAACTTACTAATGAATCCTGAGCCTGCTATCCTAGAGATCCTTTACTGAATTTAGTTGGTGTGTCTGCACAAACATGTGTCAGAGCAGTGGGGTCGAACTCCGTCAGTAATGGGGGCCACTACCCCAAGCACAAAGACCCCTGAGTCCACTTCTTGACTATTTTATTTATTTAGCTAGATTGTTCATAATTACATTTTAATCTGTTTTGGGCTACGTGTCTAACATCTGTTTTTCAGGAAAAAGCAAAAGAGGAATTCCATGAAGACCTCCATGAGACCCTTCCAAGTGACATAAAGGCACAGACGGGCATGTGCTTGGCACAGAGTGAGCGGTCAGTAAGTGCTTTCTCCATTCGCTCCCTTTCTTACAGACCTATGACAACAAAGAACAGTCTGGGAGAAAACTGGGAGCAGGTTTGCCTCCGAAAGCCGGGCAGACCAGGGAGCAGGGGCTTGTGAGCAGGCTGCCAGGAGCCCGGGCAGCTACGCTGGGACAGCTGGAGGGCATCCCGCAGAGATGCCGCTGGTGATGCCGATCCAGCAGATCTGCCAGGGTTTGTACTTCAGCCCATGCTCCTGGTCGGTGAACCTTCGGAAAGGGCAGCCCCCGAGAGCCAGAAGGCCACAGATCACACTTCCAACCCCATCCTTTTTTGGCGTGGCTCTACTATAAGGGGAACAATACAGGGAACGCCGTGGATATAGTGTACTAAGATCTCTGCAAAGCACCTGGTGAAGCACTACATCCTATTCTTGAAGGAAAATAAACAGGAGAGAGGTGCCTGAGACTGCAACATAATTAGATGGAACCCGATCTGGGTGAACGGCTGGACTGGGAATCGTAGTTAATGGGCCAACACGAGCCAGCAGAAGAAGGTCTCTGGCGGGGTGCCCCAGGGATCCGTGCATGACATTTTTATCAGCGCCTTAGGTAACGGCATGAGGGGCAAGCTTGTCAAATGTGCAGATGACCCCAAACAGGAGGGAGAACTAACACCAGACAAGCAGAGTCAGGATCCCCAAAGACACCGGGCCAAATCTGATGAGATAGAAACTTATTAAGGATAACTGTAAAGTTTTTGTTTTTGTTTTTGTTTTTGTTTTGCCTAGGCAATGGGATTAAGTGACTTGCCCAGGGTCACACAGCTAGTAAGTGGTATGTGTCTGAGGCCAGATTTGAACTCAGGTCCTCCTGAATCCAGGGCCGGCACTCTATCCACTGCGCTGCCTAGCTGCCCCTAACTGTAAAGTTTTATGCTTCGGTTCAAAATGAGTCTGGGGTGGGCAGAGAGCGTGCTTAGGTGGCAGCTGGTCTGAAAACTGCTTGGGAGGGAAGTCAATGAGAGTCAGTAGAGAGATGTGAAGAGCCAAGAAGAGCTCATGTGACCTGGGACTGAGCCAAGAGAAGCCAAACTTGTAGGAATAGGAGGGGCAGCATCACCTGCATTAGAGGCAGCGGCAAGGATGCGAGTTCAAATCCGGCCTCAGACACTTACTGGCTGCGTGACCTTGGGCAAGTCACTTGTCCCTGTCTGCCTCAGTTTCCTCATCTGTCAAATGAGCTGGAGAAGGAAATGGCAAACCGCTCCAGTATCTCTACCAAGAAAACCCCAGATGGGGTCACGGAGAATCAGACAGCTCTGGAATGATGACCAAAAACAACAACACCTTTCTGAAGGTTTTGAGACAGAAAAAGAGAGCCGACTTTCCTCTTAGAAAACGCCTTCTTCTCCTGGGCTAAAATCAGGCAAACTGATCTTTAAGAGGGAACGTTTCCAGCACTGAAGGAAGGGCAGCCCCCCACACTGCCCACCACAGCGGCGCGAAGGGAAGGACCAAAACCCGCAGTCGGCCGTTTGCCTGACGACCCCCAGGTCGAGGCCCTTCTGCCCTCTGCCCAGGGCCAAGGCCTCCCCATACCTGTATGCGGGCTCGCTATCACAGGCGGAGTCTTTATATGCAAAACTTCTTTTCAGGTCCAGCTCCTCATCTTTTTCCTCGTCTCTCTCATCCTGAAAGAATTCAAGAAATCAGGAAATGGTTTTTTCTCTCTCTGGAAATAGCTTTCATTTCAAAAAAATTCATTTAAATGTTTACATTTCTTGACAAAGGAGAAGAGAAAGGCAGAACACCGTATACTTACCATTAGTTTTAATGAACCTCAGTGGAATCTGGCTAACAATTGTTGGTCAATGAACTGGTGACATTTCACTCAAGCTCTGTGATGCTCCACACCCAGATGGGAAGGAGGTGTGGTAGGAGGAGCACTGAATTTGGAGTCAGAAGTCCTGGGTTTGAATCATAACTTTGCTACTTATTACACTGGGGACTTTGTATGAGCCACTGCCCCACTTTAGGACTCGATGTTCCAATCTACAAACCGACACAGTTGGACTGGACGCCTCCAGCTCTGAATAACCCTGCCAGGCCTGCGTTCACCTCAGCACACCTGGAAGCACGGATATGACACCCACGTGCTGCTGCTGTGCTCCTGGTTCCATCTGGGCCCAGGGCCAACTGTGCTGACTTGTCCTGAGTCTCAGACCCTTGCTTCCTTTGAGAACAAGAGCAATCAGTGCTGTTAGTTAAGGGGAAGCAAAAAGGCCAAGGGGCAGGGGCAGCTAGGTGGCTAGAGCACCGGCCCTGGAGTCAAGAGGACCTGAGTTCAAATCTGGCCTCAGACACATGATACTTTCTAGCTGTGTGACCCTGGGCAAGTCACTTAACCCCAACTGCCTCAAAAAAAAAAAGGCCAAGGAGGAGAACCCCCTTGGGGAAAATACCCAAGAGGTTAAATGGAAAAGCCATGCTGGGTCCAACATGAGTTCACAGGGTCAATACGAGTGTCCAGTAAAACAGTAAACATCGCAGGATAACAACACGGTGCCCGACTCCTGCTATGTCTGTCCTTTGTGACAGGGCCATCCTCCTCATGCCTGAGCTTGATGCACTGAAATGGGCTCAGACGCTCAGGGCCCAGCCTGGCATTCTCAAACCTTCTGGAACCTCACAAAAAAGAGACGCTTCAAAGAGTATAATGCTGGAAACTGTGTTTCTCTCAACTTCCCAAGTCTCACGTTATCTTCACCTGATGGCGTCTGTCAGCATCTCATCCAGATGCTGGAAGGACCTCCTCCTCGTCATCTTCCAGGTGCAGAATGGCATTCCTGTATCAAGGCACCACTACCCACAGCCGTGTTCCTTGAGTTTGGTCCATCGATAAGTTTATGGGTGATGTTACTGCCTCAGCAAAATAGATTCACTATTGGCTTGTTAAGTGTTCACAAATACAGCCATCTGATCACTGCTTAGTAAAGTGGAAAGAATACCACACAGGGAGTAAGAAGACCTGGGTTTGAATCTTTTTTTTTTTTTTGGTGAGGCAATTGGGGTTAAGCAATTTGTCCAGTCATACAGATAGTAAGTGTTATATGTCTGAAGCCAGATTTGAACTCAGGGCCGGTGCTCTATCCACTATGCCATCTAGCTGCCCCCTGGGTTTGAATCTTGGCTCTGCCTTTCACTAGCTGTGGGACCTGTTATGCTTCAGGATCCTAACATGACAATGATCTCCAAGGTCCATGCCAATGATGACATTCTGTGTTTCTGAACCAAATAGAACAAAACAGCACTCCAAAACCATTAGAAGGGTCTATATTTCTCTTTCATACTTTCTACAAATATACCATAGATTTTTAGTACCTCCTGATTAGTGGTATGAAACACATTAGAGACAGGGAGAGCAAGGGAAAATTGGTAGCCTGAGCACTGCTTTTGTATCCATGAACTATTAAGAAAACCAGAGGAAGGGTCCCATATGTTGGATGGTTCTCCAATGGAAGATTCATGGAAGCACACTGAGAAGAATCCCACAGAATGAGAAGATCACAAGTGGCACCAGCAGAGGGGGTGCCTACACCCAGGAGACCCTGGGGCTACTGCAGCATCAAGGTGGGGTACCCACAATAGGTGCTGTTCCTCCAACAGGAGACCTTTCTCATGAGGATTTTACAGAGACGAAAAAGTGGGTACAGGAGTGGGTAGTGGCTGACATCATCTCCATCTTGTATTCTTTTTTAAAGCAAGTTTTCACTGATGTTTTCTGTTTTTTACATCATCCTAATTATCCCCAGTATCCCTCCTCCTGCCCCTCCCAAAGTCAGTACTTTTTTAAAGGAAAGAGAAATCTACAAGTTGGAAAAAAGTAAAAATAGGTACCATACATAACATGTATGGACCTCCCACCTCCATGATGGGGTCAGCTGGGGAGCGAGGGGGAGGGCTCCTCTTCGCTCAAGTACTGCTTGATCTTGCTAATTTCATTACATTAACTTTTGAAGTTCTGGAGCATCGTTCTCTCCATTTACATTGTAGTAGTTACTGGGTGTGTTGTTTTCCTGGTTCTGCTTACTTCATTCTGCATCAGTTCATATGGATCTCTCCATGCTTCTCTGTATTCATCACAGTCATCATTTCTTACAGCACAATAATGTTCCATATATTCTTGTACCACAATTTGTTTAGCCATTCCCCAGTAGATGAGCGTCTACTTTATTTCCAATTCTTTGCTATTGCAACAACTGCTGCTATAACAATTTCGGATAGTTTTTGTTATCAATGTCTTCTCTGGGGCATTGGCCCAGTAAAAGAATCTCTGGTTCAAAGGGTATGGGCATGTTAGTCACTTCATTTGCTTAATTCCAAAAAGCTCTCCAGAATGGTTGTACTAATTCACAGCTCCACCACAAATGTGTCAGTGTGCCTGTTGTTCAACAACCCTTCCAACATTAACTATTATCATTTTTTTCATCTTTCATCTTTTGTCTTTCATTTTTTCAGGGTGTGAGGTGAAACCTCAGGGTTGTTTTGATATATGTTTCTCTTTTTAGTTATTTGGAGCATTCTTTCCTGTGGTTGTGAAAACTTTGAAAATTCTTTTGAGAACTATTTGTTCATATACTTTAACCACTGATTTACTGGGGAATTGGTTATAGATATATACAAATATATGTATGTATATAAATTGTTTATATATTTTGGATACCAAACCCTTATAAGAAAAATCTGATACAAGGATTTTTTCCCCATTTGACCATTTCTCTTCATCATAGGTGCAATAATTTTGCCTGTGCAAAAGCTTTTCAATTTCACATAATCAAAGCTATCTATTGTATGTTTTACAATTGCCTCTATCTTTTATTTGGTTAAGAATATGTCTCCTGTGGTCAGCTGTGAAAGACTTGGCTACTCTGATCAAGACAATGATCCAAGACAATTCCAAAGGACCCATGATGAAAAATGCTCTCCACCTCTGGAGACAGAACTGATTAACTCTGCATGTAGATTGAAGCATACTTTTTTAAAAACTTTATTTTTCTTGTTTTGTGTGTCTCTCTGTGCATGTTTCCTTTTGGAACATAGCTAAAAGGGAAATGTTTTCCATGACTTCACATGTATAATCGATATATTGCTTGCTTTCTCAAGGGATGGGGAGGAGCAGAAAGGAAGGAGAAAATTCAGAACTCAAAATTTTTAAAAATGAATGTTGATTTTTTACATCTAATTGGGAAATATTTAATGAATAAGAAATATATTTTAAAATATACATCTGCTTATAGCTAGAGGAGGTATATGATCTGCTTCTCTTCTAATTTCTTAATAGTATCATCTTTAATATTAAGGTTATACTATAAAAAAATTAGAAGCAGATCATATACCTCTCACAGCTATCACCAGAAGATATTGTGGAAGGTAGTATGATATGCTAGACTAGCCTAATTTTTGGCAGAGTGCTTTCCAGTTTCCCAAAAGTTTTTATTAAATAAGGATTGTTTTTCCTAGGTAATTTATGTTTTCTACTTTATCAAACATTAGGTTATTGAGTTCTATCATTTAGGATTCTCCCTTGTTCCACAGATCTCTCTCTTTTTTAACCAGTACCAGACAGTTCTGAGGATGGCTGCTTTATAATATAGTTTGAGGTCTGGAAGCGATACTCCCCTTTCATCCCTATTTCTTTTAGTCATTTCCTTTGACATTCTAGATCTTTTGTTGTTCCAAGTGAAAATTGTTACTATTTTATCAAGTTCCATAGAGTAAACCCTTGGTAATTTGATTGGCATAGCAATAAAAATGGAAATTAACTTTTTTTTATTACATTAATACTGCCTAGTCCTGAACACTTAATATTCCTTCAGCTATTTAAGTTTGTAGTTGTATCTATACATGTCTTTGGTGGACCTTGGTAGATTGATCTCCAGACAGTTTGTGAACTTTGTAGTTATTTGGAATAGCATCTGCCTATCGTTGCTTCTTGGGTTTTGTTATTGTTATGCTGAAATGCGGTTGATTTTTGAGGATTCATTTTGTAGCCTACAACTTTGCTGAAGCTATCGTCTCAATTAGTATGCCGATTCCCTAGGATTTTTCCAGGTACACCATCATATCATTAGCAAATAGTAACAGTTTTATCTATTCTTTTATCCTTACACTTTTCTTTCTTTCTTTCTTCCTTTCTTTCTTTCTTTCTTTCTTTCTTTCTTTCTTTCCTTCTTTCTTTCTTTCTTTCTTTCTTTCGTGAGGCAATTGGGGTTAAGTGACTTGACCAGAGTCACACAGCTAGGAAGTGTCAAGTGTCTGAGGCCGGATTTGAATTCAGGTCCTCCTGAATCCAGGGCTGGTGCTCTATCCACTGCGCTACCTAGCTGTCCCTACTTTTAATTTCTTTATCATCTTATTGCTAGCATTTCCAGACCTAATTCAAATAAAAGAGAGAAGGCATCCTTGTTTGGTTCTCTTATTTACTGGAAAAGGTACTAATGTATCATATTGCATGTGATGCTTGCCTTTTATTTATTCATTCATTCATTCATTTATTTATTTAGGTTGCCATTTATTTATTTATTTTTAGGCAATTGGGGTTAAGTGACTTGCCCAGGGTCACACAGCTAGTGTCAAGTGTTTGGTCTAAGGCTGGATTTGAACTCAGGTCCTCCTGCCTTCAGGGCCAGTG